CCGCACTAGTTGAAATATAATCATTTCTCGTCCATAGCGGGCGACACGGCACGGATCTGAGGCGATTGCTGGCCGTGGGTTGGCCCTTGTTCCAGATCGGCTGGGCCGCGGCTGCTGATGCTGTTGCGATGACGGAAGAATCGGCCACGACTGACGGAGGACAAACTGTGACCACCGTGGGATTCCATTGACTGACGACCGGAGCGCGCTGCAGACGGGGCGGCGCTGGTGTTGGAGTGGCTTCGGCGGTGAGAGCCAGATGCACGGCTCTGCCGCTCGGCTTGCTCTTCCTCTTCTTCCTGGATGCGACGCTCTGCGGTTTCACGGTTGGCCATCCGAACAACGTCATCCACACGAGTGCCGCGGTCTTCGAAGACATCGCCCATGACGTCGCCGGAAGAAACGTCGCGCATGCCCAGCGAGAAGTCAACATGCTTCCGCGTGAGCATCGAGTCACCGCGGGCCCGGGCAGCGGCAGCGTCCGCGCCCCTACGAAGAATAGAATGCTGGCGGACAGAGCTGCTGGAGCCAGTATTCTCGGGGATCGAGTCATGCTGGTAGACAGGGGTGGGAGGAGGCCGGCCATCACTGCTGCCGGGAGGAGCACCCATGTTATGCGAAGGGAACCCAGCGACATGGAAAGGAATGTCGACACGGGCACCCTGGAGGTTCATGCGTGGGCCCTCGATGCCAATCTCTTGCAAGGCAAGCATGAGCATGCAAATGAACTTATTGCGACGTTGCAAACGCAGGCCCTCATTTTGCCAGTTTGACTTGTAGAAGAAAACAACATTGAGGGTGACTGAGAAGTTTTCGGTCACCTCACGCATCTCAGTAAGGATATTGGTCTGGAATTCCCGGCGTTCGCTGCGGACAAACTCCAACAAGCGTTGACGAAGGCCATCAATTTGCTCGAGTGTCGTGCCATACTTGATGACAATAGGCACAGCCTCGGCCAGGGCGCCTGATCTGCGTTGGTTGAGGATGAAGAGACCGTTCAAATAGCTGTTCGGGGCTTGCACAACGTGACCCTGCATCTTCTTGAACTCAGTATACAAGAGAGAAATCTGCTTGACGAAGTAGTCATCACCCAGACCCGCATCACCAGAGTTACCATATACTGTGACACGGTCACCAACATCAAACGGGTGCTTGATGAAGACGAAAATGACCGACTGAAGGAACTCCTGTGCAGTGGCAGAGAACAGCCAAGACAACGCAAGAATACTGGAGCCTGCAGACGTGAGTACACCAGCAGCCGAGGTGGAAATCAAGGTCAAGAACACGATCAGGGTAATGATAACCACGAAGAATTCCAGGATGTTATCGAGTCTTCCAACAACAGAGTCAAGATCCTTCAAGGACGCAGTGATTGCTTTGCGTTCACGTCCAATCTCCACGCACACAGACTCCAATTCTTCCATGGAAATATCTCCGTTCATGTCTTTGTCGAACATAGTAAAGGCAGCTTCGGCTTCGTCATTGTTATCAAACGCTTCCTTCAGATCGCCGGAGAAAACGGTCTCAAAGCCATCCCGCACGAGGGTCCGGTAGAGTCGCCGAGCCAAAACCTGGCAACCGCTGGTGGTTCGCAGCAAAGCCAGCACAACCTGGTAGGGGTGGTTGCTGTTGGTGGCTGTGCGACCAGTGAAGTCCGCTGCAACTGCGCCGGCCACATCACCGACCTTGGTAAAGGCACCCTTAGCAAGACGTCCCGCTTTACCAGCGTAATGGAACGGGATCTTAAGGCCGTTATTAGAACCGGGCTGTTTTTGTTCCTCAAATTCCTTGTCCTTGGCAGTGATTTTCCTCCGCGAGAATTCGTATAATTTGGTCAAGCTGCCAATTTGGAACTTGTTGATCTCAATTCGGTCGGCATAAGTACGCGTGTGGAAGCTGATGGCAATAAGCTGAATGATGAATTTCTCCACCAGGTTGAGGATCGTCCAGACGAAGACGGAAATGATAATCTTGTTGAGCGTATTTTCCCAGGAGCGCGTAGTATGGTTTCCGTCCACGTGATGGTTCTTCATTGTGGGCAAAAAAGAAATTTCGACACCCAACCACCAGAAGAAAAGAGTTGCATGCAGCTCCAATTGCTTGGCAAGATCACGCCATTTCTTCGCATTGTTGGTGAAGATACTAGCGAGCGCGTTCACAGGTATAGGGATCAACTTGGAGACGATCTGTCCAGAATCGAATTAGCAATGAGGCGATGGGTAAACAGACAATGATATCACAGGGTACTCACTCTTCCAGCCCACAAGGTCAACCAGACGATTTCCAGCCAGACTGAAAACCAAACCAGCCGGACACCTCCGACACTGGCATCGGGATAAGCCAGCGCACCAACCAATAACGGAATGAGTAGGATGATCACAAGTGGCAGGATGTAGGTAAGATAACGGATGATGAAACTCGATTCATGGAGTTTCTTGACAAATCTGGCAATGTTGGTATTAGGATTCTCGGGTGGATTGTAAACTGCAGCTTTCTCATGCAGCGGATTGGTGGCCTCGTCAAACTCGTCGATATGTTCGTTAGGGCGCGAGCGAGAACGTGAACGAGAGCGAGAGGTGGATGGACGGCCGTCGTGAACACTCTTTTTCGACTCTGCCTCTTGCGTGGAGCGCGAAACCATCCGTTCAGCTTCCATAACTGCCAGGTCGTCTTCGAGACGCGTAGATTCTTCCCTCGCAGTGACCGGAGAGGCCAGGGCGGTCCTATCCAAGTCATTGTAAGAAGTGTCCACTCTCAGGTGGTTTCCGTTACTGGCACTGTCATAGACGTAAGTGCCTTCGTCCGAGTCAGGAGTTCCATCGTCCAATCTGTGCTTGCTCTTCTCTTCCAGATGATCAGGAGCAAGATGATCTCCCATGGAGGTCGACATGTTGGCACCAGGCCAGGAGTCGAAAGCGAAAGGCTAGATTACAGGCTGACCAGCCTTGAGGTTATAGATCGATCTGATCCGGAATCGACTAGATGCTGGGTAAGTTAGACCGATATGGATCAAGAGGAGGCCATGCAAAGGCTTAACCACAAACACATAGTGAAGGATGGGAGAATCAAAAAGAGTAGACAAAATGGAGGGAAACACCCTGGAGAATAAAAGAGGGTCTGGTGCAAGCGAGAAAAAGCACGAGCAAGGGCGACGACTGACCTACACTGGTGGGAATTCCTTCCGAAGACCAACAAAGCTAATGATGCATTGACTCTGGCCGGTGGGCTCAAAGAGGAACGGGAGATAAGCGGGCACTAGTAGGATTGTGCAGACGGAGGAAAAGGAAAAATGCACAGAATCAAGCAGGAGAAGATGGAGATGCAGGAAGGAAGAAGAAAAGAGAGTAATGACAAGAGGAGGAGAGGAATAGGACAGAGTGTAGGGTGGGGAGCCCGTGAAAAGAAAAGAAAAAGACAAAGGTACCAGACCAAATGAGACTGGACCTTGGTTCGACAATTCGACAGCAGCAGAGCAGAAGGAGGAGGAGATCGATGCGGGCGAGATGCCGATCGCACGGGACAATTAAACCAACTGGAGATTCAATGACTGAAGGTTTGGCAAAGTCCAGACCATTTCTATTCCTAGTCGAGCCAGACTTCGGTTATGCACATGAGTATTCCTCAAGACCAATTTTATAAACACCATCCTATATGCCTGTTTACAGGGGACAAAGTCGGCAATTCCCGTTGTCGATTGACCATCTACCCTGGGAACTATCTCAGCCCATGCACTCTAACAATGGGCGGAACTTATCAGAGGGTGGCCGCGGGTGGCGGTCATTCTACGATCCAAGACCTCGATCGATATGGATCCCAGTCCTAGACTATCCATTCAGTGGGCGTGCCCTCAGCATCGGTTCTGGCCCAGTGGCGCCCAGTGGGTCCCAGTCATCTAACGTTAGAAACTTCAAACGGGTCCAAAGAAAAACTCTGGGACCCAGTGTACCCTTCATGCTAACCCAAACTACCTGCGTTAGCTCCTCCATCGTTGCAGCCTTAGTCTGGTGTCTCACAGCGAGACTTGCGTTACCTGAGAGGGAGAGGGGGGGCTGCTTGGCATTTCGCGGGATTTGGTCCTGCAGCGGGCTTACAGATAAGGGAGATTATTCGGATCTTATGTAGGAGACTTTCTTTCTTTTCTTTTTTTTTTTTTTTTCCCCTACCTCACTTCGGAGATGCAAAATCTGCTGACTGACCGTGGGAGGGTTCCAGACAGATGTCAAGTCTGGAAAGGGAGACCAAAAATGATGTTATCTCTCCTCCGGCGATTATTCTCCGAAGTCTTGAACGCAATAATAAATGTGGAAAGGGCAAAAAGTGGCCACCGCCAAGAAACGCCACATCAGGCACTCCCGGGCTGTCCTCCCAGCTGTGCACAAAGTCTTGCACATAAGTCATCATCTTCATTGATCCTTGGGTCAGCACTTACGTACGTGGGAGACCAATCTCGGAAATCTTTTGCCCCCCCCCTGCGCAGATTGCCTATGTCTTCCACCTGGACTCTATACAGAAATTTGTACGTCATGTCCGGTTACTGTCCTAGCAGAAATCTTCACGATTTCTTTCGCTGCCATTCATCTTAATAGGGATATTATGGTTTGCTAGGCGCGAGTCAGTGCAGTCTATAGCTTCAACACTAGTATATGGCGCTAAGCCTGGAGGATTCCACCATAGACACCGTCTGAGTCTTGACGTCTCGAAAACCTGATTTCTACACGCTAGTGTTTTTGCAACCAACCAATTCATCATCTCAGTCATAGATGGATGAACGAGACCGCCTCTTATGATAGGTGACAAAGGAGGGACGCGGCTAACCTGCCGAAATATTATACCTACCCAGCATGATATTCGGAGTTACAAAACGCTATTCTGATAGGCTTGTGCAATTGGCAGTTGTATGTGCATAGTTATGCTCCTGCTTACCTCCATCCTCCATTATATGCAACATCCACTCACCCATCACAATTGTCAAAGAGTCGATCTCGATTGGGCTATCAGCCCTCTACATCATTGCGTTGACCACGCGAATTCCATTGGCAGGTCCGCTCCCGGCTGTTGACGTGTCTTGCCCCGCCATGTCCACTGAAGATCGCCACGGTCATCTGCACGGTAGATGGGAAGGCCATGATAACCGTAAATGGAAGCTTATGAATTATGCTTACGATGTTCAAATCATCGAAGCGCAAGGACCATCCCAGTCCTTTTGTAAATCATAAAATGGGATCCATCGACAACGGTTTGCCGTTCCAACAACGACTTGGCCGCATTGACTTCCATCTACCTGCCAGTGTTCAAGTGTTCCATACCGCCAGCAATACAAGCCAAACTCTGTGATCGAGTCATTCGTGACTAGTCATTCTGCCTGCCTGCCTGTTCTCCGGCTCTTGTTAGCCCGTGCAACTAAAGAATATGTAGGCGTAGATGGGTGCATAGTAGGCATGGGGTAGGGGCAGAGTGCGGGGAAGATCGACAGTGAACATTTCCATACTATCTCTTTCCATCAGATGTCCGTAGCATCCTACCCGCCCCTCTGAGTAGATCTACCGTGTACCTCATACAGCTAAGTGTTGCAAAGCCAGTAGGGTTATCGCAGCTACCCCTGGTCTGTGCAGGTCAAACCGCTGTCACACATCACGCATCCCAAGGATTGCTTCCCCGCATTCCACGGCAGGAGGCACGTGGAGTATAGAGGATTCTGCAATGACGGAAAAGAGATGGAATAGAAAGGAAAGAACTCCGTGGTCGATAAAGTGTAGTTCTCTGATCCTGTGTAGTATCGAGGCACCAAAACTTTTGGTGTCCGTTATACTGGGAGGGAGGAAGCAGACCGAGTTAGTCAAATTCACGTGCTGATCGACTGATCGGTCGGGAGCAGAAGGGCAGCTGATTGGTCCAAGGCGCCTTGTCTTGTTTATTGGACCGGCAAGAACGACTGATGCTCTCTCCTTCCATCCTCCATCCTATTGATCCAGAAACTCCCTCATCCTCTATCTCTTCCCCCTCTTCTTCTTCCATCATCCTCTGGGGTTGCAAGTCTACTGTTTGTCATCCCAGTCCATCACCCGGACACTGCTGAGCGAATCCCTTGCGTCTGTTTACAACGATAACCGACCCCATTCTCCAACATGCGAGGCGAGGTATACCCCCCGTTCTATTTACCTTTGGACCCCCGCACCGTCACCCCCTCCCCTTATCCATAAACATCCAATTCCACAATCTCACGCACTGACACTCGTTCAACTGCCCAATCGAAGCTTAAGACTGCTCTATTCTAACTATTGCTTTCCATCAGGTCTGCCACATCCACATCGGCCAGGCTGGTATCCAGCTTGGTAACAGTGCTTGGGAGCTGTATGTCTTCACCGCTTTTTATTGTACCCCGATCTAGATGTCATTGACCCCATGCTGACCTGTGACCATCACGGCAGGTACCTCCTTGAACATGGTCTCAAGGCCGACGGTCAGCTCAATCCTGAGGCTGAAGACGCAATCAATTCGGGTGGTTCGTTCGAAACCTTTTTCACCGAGACACACAGCGGCAAATATGTCCCTCGTTCTATCTTCGTGGATCTTGATCCTTCGGTACGACCTTTCCAGATGGATGGCTTCTCTCATATAACGTATATGCTGAATTGATGGATGCAGCCCGTCGATGAGATCCGCACCGGCCAGTACCGTCAGCTCTTCCACCCCGAAATGTTGATCAGCGGAAAGGAAGACGCCGCCAATAACTGTACGTCTCTTATAATACGGCCTGAACATGTAAGCTAATGCTCGTCAGATGCCCGCGGACATTACACCATCGGAAAGGAGCTCGTTGAATCAGTTGCCGACCGCATTCGCCGTGTCTCCGGTAAGTTTACCACAATTTCTCTGAAACCTGACTCTGTCGGGACTAGGCTTACACACGCTAGATAACTGCAACTCTCTGCAGGGATTCTTGGTATTCCACTCCTTCGGCGGTGGTACCGGCTCCGGATTTGGTGCCCTGCTGCTTGAGCGTCTTTCCACCGATTATGGAAAGAAGTCGAAGCTCGAGTTTGCGGTGTACCCTTCCCCTCGTGTGTCGACCGCCGTCGTTGAGCCATACAACGCTGTTCTCTCCACCCACAGCACTATTGAGAATGCTGACTGCACCTTCTTGGTGGATAACGAGGCGGTTTACGACATCTGTCGTCGCAACTTGGACATCCCACGTCCTGGCTATGAGCACCTCAACCGTCTAATCGCCCAGGTTGTCAGCTCCATCACCTCAAGTCTCCGATTCGATGGCGCCCTCAATGTCGATTTGACTGAGTTCCAGACTAACTTGGTGCCATTCCCTCGTATCCACTATCCGCTGATTTCGTATGCACCCGTGGTCTCGAGCAGCCGCAGCTCCCACGAGAGCTTCAAGGTGCAGGATCTTACCTTCCAGTGTATGTACTTCTCTTCGTGGCTCGTCGTCGAGGAATTGGTGTGGGTGAATTGCTAACGCTGGCTGCAGGTTTTGAGCCAAATAATCAGATGGTGGTGTGTGATCCTCGCAAGGGCAAGTATATGGCAGTGGCTCTGCTGTACCGCGGTGACGTGGTACCCCGTGACTGCACTCAGGCCATCGCCTCTCTCAAGGCCAAGGCCTCGTTCAACCTTGTCGAATGGTGCCCTACCGGCTTCAAATTGGGAATCAACTACCAGAAGCCCGTCCGCGTTCCCGACACCGAGCTCGCTCCCGTCGACCGCTCCGTCAGCATGCTCTCCAACACAACCTCCATTTCTGAGGCGTGGGGTCGTCTTGACCACAAATTCGACCTCATGTACTCGAAGCGCGCCTTCGTTCACTGGTACGTGGGTGAGGGTATGGAAGAAGGCGAGTTCTCCGAAGCCCGTGAGGACCTGGCTGCGCTGGAGAAGGACTATGAAGAAGTTGCCAACGACAGTCTGGAGCCGGAGGGTGAGGAGGGTGAGTACTGATACCTTTCACACCCTGTTGGCTTGTGCTGCTTTGGTCGCTTTTCTTGGTGTGTCTGTCTTCTTTGCCGGTCAAATTGTGTCTGCCCCGTCCATAATGCTTGCGACAACCCCCTTCATTCTGTTTATGCGTCCCTAGCGTTGTTTGATTCCCCTGCTCTTACCTAATAATGAACTGATACATGCACTGCGGGAGAATATGAGCACACGAATTCATCGGTCTTTTGAAAGGACGCGAAAGTGTATTCCACGTGGAAAAGAGAAAAGTCTAGTATTCTATCAGATAATATACACAATCAGGTGTTGCGAGTGCGCGGGACCCTGTAAGCTCACTCATCCTTGCTCGTAGCCACCTCCATATCCTGGAGAAGTCGCAAAGAAGTCTCATAGGTCCACATCGTCACCGCACTGGCAGGGGCAGCCTTGAACAGGCTGACCGTCAACCCCCGATAAAGTCCGCGGATACCCTGGGTCCGCAGAATCAACCTCATCGTATTAAACACACCCTGATACTCAGGAATATTGCGATGAATATATAACTGCCTCGTCGGACCCTGCACCTGCAACCTCTTCCGTATCAAATCCAACGGAAACATCACCGTCTTCGACGACACACTGGCAATCACACCCGCCGCCGCATCCCCCGACCCAAACGGCAAATCCTGATACTGCGCCAACGGCGGCCTCAACGCCTCATACGTCGCAAAGAACAGCCCCATATACGGCACAATCTGCCCCACAGCCGCACTACACCCGCGAAAGAACCCCGCGTACCCTTCATTCCGCGCGATATCCCGCACCGACGACATCAGCGACGTGTACACCCGCTCCGTACCCTGCGCGGCGAACCGCGTCCTCAGTAAATCCAGCGGGTATGTAGATGCCGTGGCGAGACCGCCCGCGGTGGCGCCCGCGACGAATGATTCGACGGAGGGGGGCAGTCGATAGGTGTCGAGTTGGGCGAGCGCTTGTGTGGTTGTGCGGTATGCGCTGAACTGGATCACCCCGTAGCAGACATACATTAGTTCCGCCGGGATGTTGCCTTTCCAGAGGCCGGTTATACCCTCTTGACGGATGATTTCGCGCATGGTGGAGAGCGTCCCCTTGTAGATTGGGCCGGTTACATTGTGGTGGGAGGGAGGGTCGGAGAGGGAGTGGATTTGGAGCTGGAGGCGGATTTTGACTACGTCTAGGGGGGCGACGCAGAATCTGGAGTAATTGGGTGTGAGGATTAGGTGGCTTGTGTTGGTAGGGGGGAGGGTTGGGGGATGGGCGTACCGTGATACGAGGCCGGCTATGCCGCCTGCTAGGACGACTTGTCGTCGTGTGCCCTGGGTGGTTGGAGGGGATTGGTTAGCTTGCGCATTGGGAGTGAGGGTCGATGGATGGTGCTAGGGATTGGGGTGTATGTGTGTGTGATTGTTGAGGGGATGGTTGGTGCATGGGGATTTGGGGTGGTTATGTACCTCATCCTTGAGGTGTTCTCCCCCGGCCGACATGCATGTGACGGTTGAGAGTTAAGGTGGAAGAAAAGTAGGTATTTGAGGTGGAATTGATGGTCGCGGATGATAGCACGTTATATAAAGGTTGTCATTGATGTGTTTTCCTTTGTGGTGGTGGTGTGTAGGTGGTTGTTTCGCTGGAGGCCTTGTCGAAGGCAACGGGCAAAGAAAAAAAGGGTAAAAATGATGCTAACGGTCTAGAGGTATGACGTGTGTCCGTTTGTTGGTTTCTTTTTCTTTTCCTGCGGACGGAGTCTCGGAGACTTCAAAATGCCGGACTTACTTCCGGGTATAGTTTGTTGATTCTCTTTACTCCGGGAGAAATGAGGGTTTATCTACAAAATTACTACTTTTTATTGATTTAATGACGGGCGATTATGCTCCGTCTGGAAGAAGCAACCCAAGGGATGGCAAGCAAATCCCCTGGTGGACGAAGATGCCTGGTGTCTCTGCCTGACTGCCTTACTGCCTAGCTCGTACTTGAAAGCGGCGGCGAGTCAGTGCCCAATCAGGTGCCGTCCGAAAAACCTCGGTACAAACAAAGTCGCATCAGACCATAAGTTATTATCTGGGGGATCTCCTGGCGTCCCACTTCTTTCCCCAGCTCTCCTTCACTCCCCAACACTGAAGTCCTTGGATGCGGGCGCCTTCAGACTCTTCATAGCAGGTCTCCTCGCTGCTAGTATTCGCCATGTCTCGTCTGTTGCGAACCGCCCTTCGTCTTCCTCGGGCCTCATTCCCTCCGGCCTCCGTTCTCAGCCGTCGTGTCTATTCATCCTCTGTTGTTCGTCGCTCAGCAGCTAATGCTACCCCTCCCGCCAACAATGTGGCTCCCACATCCAGTGATGCTGCTCCCACAGCTAGCAGTATTGCCTCTGCAGCCAGCAATGTGACCGCCGAACCCAGTGTATCACATGAAGTAGCAAGTGCAAGCAATGAGCCTGCATCATCGCAGCCAAACCAACCCTCACCTCCGGAAGCAGGTGAACAGCACGAGGGAAAGGCTCCAGAGTCAAGCGCCGGGACAGTAGAATTCCAGGACAGCAAATACACAATCACACGCAAAGACGGAGGCCTGATCATCCAAGAAGGTCGCAAAAAGCCCATCGAGATCCTAGACATCATCCTCCGCGACTCCTGCAAATGCTCTACCTGCCTGGACCCTCACTCCAAGCAACGCAACTTCCGCACGAGCGACATATCCTCCGACATAATCTCCGAGAACCCAACCATCGAGCACGGAAAGCTGCACGTAACATGGAAGAACGACCTCCGCGGCGCTCCCGCCGAATCAAAACACGAGTCCACATACGACCTCCACCAGCTCCGACACCCCATCCTCACCCCCGTGGAAATGGAATCTGCGGGCAAAAACCGCTGGCGAGCCTACTGGGACAACAG